CAAATATTCATCATAACATTTTTTTTTGGTGAGTCATAACTTTTTTTTTGTCGTTGCTGTACATGAGAGGAGGAGGAGGAAACTTATCTGTGGACATTACAAGACATAAATGGAAGATGAGACAGATGGGCTAATCGCTTGGCAAGCACAAGGGGATACCACCTACCAAACCCATCAGTGGCTTCCACTAGAGTGCTGGGAAGCGTTCATGAGTACATATGGCTAAGAATTAAGAGTATCTGAAATTCGTACTCTTTTCTCTTATTATAACACAATAATTTTCACCAATATAACAAGATTTTTCATGTCTTCTTGATCTAAACTAGGAAGAACACATTTATCACAACAGGCAGAAAATAAATTTGAGAACCACACATCTAGAGCAGGCTGAGTGTTTTGGCATAAGATGTAAGGGAACGACTCAGTGATGCTGTGGCTGGGGAGTGGTCATGGTGAGCTTTCAGAGGGAAGTCTAGATAAGTCAATACGCAGTGCTGTTTATTTTTATGATGCTGGAGGCTCTGCAGTAGTAGAACTCATTGGCCCCATGTACCAGGCAAGAAATGAGGATTTTACTCAGAGGGTTGGAAGTTCTAGTCCCACAGAAAGCCAACACTAAAGTCTTAATGGAGACAGTTTAAGATAAGCTATCTTAACCTGAGGAGGAAGTTAAAGACTTTTTACATTGGAAACTGCCGTAATATTTGAGACATATGATGGCAAAGCAGGTTGAGAAAATCCAAAGAGCCCTCCAGAAACCACATAGGCAGTTCATGGGATGAATACCCTGTAGCTGCCCAGCTGTAAATCCCCTGAAGGGAAAGTACACTAGGGTTTAAAAATAGGGGCCAGATCCTTTCACAAGGTCGAGTTTTGCAGAAAGATAATGCCAAAAATCATAAAGGCACCTGTTCCACACAGTCTAGTTTGGTACAGATAGTCTAGTCTCCATCTGAATCATGTGAGGTATGTGGCTAAGATGATAGAAAAGAAAGAAGTGCAGGACAGAAAAAAAAGCCAGATCTCTGAGTACAAGTCTGCCTTGATTTCAGCCACCAGAGTTTCACACAAAGATGCTTTTTTCAGCCAAGTTACACTGTCTTCAAGGGTAGGACCTTAAACATGGTACTGAGCATCAAGCCCTAATGGAATTCCAGGTGGGAAAGCCATTCACATTCTAAAAGGGAAACTACTCCTCACACCATGAGTGTTGGTACTTAGTAATAATGTGCAGTTAGGAACTACTGAAATGTACCTTCTGATCATTTATATCTGGGACATCAAAACAGTGTCGCATTGCTTCCTAAAAATAATGGGAAGAAATTACTTTGAACCAAGTGAAGTAAATCTACTGACTGACTCTCAAGAATAAAAGTCAGTAACTGAATTGGAATTAACCACTGAAACTGGGAAAAAAGTAAATAAATAAATAAATAAATAAATAAAGATCAAAGACTCTATCTACAAATGTTAATTTGGTCAGAATTCTTCCAGGATCGAATTTCTTTCACCCAGTTTTACATTGAAGTTTTATCAACTACGAACACTATATTTAGATGGAAACCTAGTACCTGCTCTTTTGGTTAAATAGCACCAGAGTTAATATCTTTGGCATGTGGCCACAGATTTTTATACCACCACCAAAGCACTAAGTTAATACCCAAGTTTCTACTAAACCAAGCCATAAACAAATCTTCAATAGAAAAGTTCTGTCTACTTGTTTATAATCTGTTACCTGGAAAAAAAGCAGAAGGTCTCTCTAGCCACCTAATCACCATATCAATGACACATGCCACAAGAGAGAAGGACTAGTTTATTTGATTGATCATGGTAGATAAACTCCAAATAACAGAGAAATTAACAAATGCTTGACATTTGCTCAACATCCATTATTCTGACACTGCTTTCAGAATCTCAAAGCCTGGGAGTATGCTTAATCAACATTCATATTCCCCTGTGGGCTGCAGGCACCATATTGCACCCCGCCTTCACACTGATGAAAACTGCATATTGGCCATTTCCAAAATGTTCTGGGACTCCACATAGGGCCCCTTTTCTCTCTTGTTACTGCTCTGCAGTTTTCTTTTAAACACTTCCAAGACAAAAGCATCTGCCAGTCTTTCTCTCTAGGGACATATGCAAAATGAACTTAACAGTTTTAAGGCAGGAGTAACCCTCACATCTAAATTCATTCATAGGACAGAAAAGGGCCTAAGAGGCCTCTCCAGGGACAAAACCCTGCTGAAATTCTCCCCACACACAACAGTGGGAGCTTTATAAAATCTAAGTCCAGACAATTTCCAATTCAAATGCCCAACATAGCATGACCTTTGTCAGATCTCTGAGCCCAAGATGCACCCATGATTTTTTATTCTGACCAGCACAGACATTAGACAGGGCACTACTGCTAAGCAGGAGGTTCAATATTTGCATGCTCTTCTATTGTGAAAATGTAACAGTGACAGCACTGTGTCAAATTCTTTTCCCTCTAGAACTTTAACTCCATAGGAGAGGCATGGCTGACAGATGACTCCCCAACATCTGTGTTATGTACACTGCACAGCTGAGGAGCCCCGGATCACTGTCAGAACACTGCAGAGATGGCCTGCGCCTTTCTTATGCCTTCTTCTTATCCCTGCTCACCCCAGTTATATATGTATATGTGTGTGTGTGTGTGTGTATAAATATCTATAATACAAATAGTGAGATTTTTAACAAAATGTAAAAATGGCAAGACAGATTAACATAATTTATAGTCATTAAGCTGTTCACATAGCAGCTCAACATATGTTGTATAAATGTCCTATACCGGATAATTTATCAGATCTGACACACAGCACGTCATATTGTTTTATTTAATACACTTACTAAAATTTCATGGATCAAGCATCACTTCGGGAAAGCACAGAGAAAGCACTAGAAAATATTTATTCATCTCCTGTGATTTATTTTGATTACCCTTACAGCTACATGATAAAGTGGAACTCACAAAATTACAAGGTTAAGGTTTACACAGCCATTGCTTCATCTACTAAAATATAACAAATGGCTCCATGTCTGTGTTAGATTTTATTTTCATTTAGTGTTAAGTAGTACACTAGGCTAAGTACTTAGCTGCCTACTGAATATTTTAATATTTTTAAATAGGACTTGAACATCTGGGCTTAAGAAACAATCTTAGGGAAGATCAGCAAGTCCTTTGTATGGTACTAGATAGAACAATGCTAGCCAAAAAGGAGATACATGCCTTTAAGTGATCTCCTCAGAACAGATCCAAAAAAACAAGCATGGGCTCATATTAGAAAGATAGCAAGAATTCACTGAATGCATAAAAGACCATAATACCATGCGAGGCATAAAGAAAGGAGTTGGGAGATAAAATCACAGCATAATTCATAGCTCATATCCTCGAGGAATTCACGATCAGTCCAATAGGAAGTAAAAGTCAGTAATGTATACATTCCAAATGAACAAGTAAAAGTTAACTACAATGGTCAAAGAAAAAGAATAGAAAGAAATTAGTGACCTTTAACAGATATTCAAGAGACAAAGAAAAGTTAGGGTACGGGAGTGTAAAACAGAGAGAGAGAGAGGAAATTAAATACTGGCACTTTGAGGCTCCTTTTCATCAATTTTCCTTTAACATGTTTTACCTGAAGGCAGGCTTCCTAATCAAGGAAGATGAGATGAAAAGGATGATAGGAAGATGAGAATTGGGAGACGAGGACCCAAAGTAGAAAAGGTCACTATAGCTTTTCAAGAAAAAACACGAATGTTTGTTGGCCTGATCATTTTTGGGAGAACCATTAAATACTTTCAACTGCCCTGGGAAAGACTATTAAGGGGAAAACAAACAAAAAAACTGCTTCAATTTCTAATGGAGTACTTTGTTTACAATACAGTAAAAGTAAGATGAAGATAAGGCAAAGAAAATAAGTTTTGTTTCCATGTATGGGTGATAATAGCCCCAAGACAGCTACAAAATAATAATCATCCCGCAAGTATTACCCTCAGGCTCCCAAAGAAGCTCCATTATGTTTCAAAGTGTAGACACTTGCTGTCCAGAGCAAGGCTTATGCTCCTCAAACCCTTTGCCTCACCATCCCTGCCAGGAGAGATGACAGGCCCTGAGAGAGCTCATGTGGAGCAAGAACACCCCAAAGCCATATTATATGGTGTGGTAAGTCAGGCAACAGAGTGACTTTAGATGAGTAACAAGTTACTGTAAAAATACTGAAAGGTCTATCATGCTGCACCCTCAGAAAGGAAAGATAAAGACTACGAAGTCAAATAGAGTTCAATATAAAAACAGTAAAATTTCATCTCCCCAAAGAAAAGAACTAAAAATAGGAAAATAGTCTTGCTCAGTTTAGTGCACGGTGATAATGGCACCTGAAAAATCCTTTGTAAAGAACAATGTAACCCTTGTGGCTTCCTGTCAGAGCAAAACACTTTACCCATGTCGAAGGATTTATACGAAGATGGGCACTAGGCCTTAACAGAAAGCCTCAAGAGCTGGGATGGTGTTGGGACTGTGCATCAGTAAGATTCAACAGAGCTAATTAAGAGCACTGAAGAAAAGCCCGAGTTTGAGTGTTGCAAATTCTTGCTAGGAACCCTATCATCACCACCACTCTGGCATTTTATTTCTAGAAATATATTTTACCTTTCTGAAATTTTTTTCTGGTTACAAGCCAACCATTATGAACCTTTCAGTGAATCACTGAATAGGGCACTTAAAGGGACAAACAATTATAAAAATAACTCTGTCACAAGTGCATACATTTTATTTTATTTAGTGATGTAATAAGCTTAGGGGCATATATCAGGTTCAAAATGGTCTTGGTCATTAATTTAAGCAATAAATCATAGGTCTTGCCAACAATGACGGCAAACAGATGCTAACAAGGAAATGTATTATTTAATATTGCCATGTGTTATAAAAATGTAAGTGTGTTTAAGACATGTCTTAAATTTTTATAATAATACGCATTTAATACATTACTGTTTTGACACATGCAGGAATTGGATTTATAGGTCCCATTCCGTAGCTTCTTCTTCTGTGAACATGAGAGCATATTCTGGATTAAAAAAAAAAAAAAACAAGAGGGGAAACCCTTAAAGTGCATGCTTGCAACAATATCTAATTGGTTGTCTTGCTGTTTTGTAGTAAATAACATCAACACTGAAACTCATTAAAAAGAATGAATTTACACACTTTGCTGGAATATAAAAATAGAACAATTTAAAATTACAATTTTTAAAGAAACCTTACAATCTAAGAAAACGTAAGAGCACCTTTCAATCAAGTTGTCAACTAGTTTTTTTCATATCCATTTTGAACTATTCTGCATGACACCAAGACAAAAATCTACTACAACTAAAGAGTAAAGTTCAACATTCAAAACTGTGGAAGCAACCAGGTAACAAAAACCCTACTTTACACCTTCATGCAAAAATCCTAGGAATCAAACACTATCGCGAAACACAAAACGAATTTAAAATGGAGTCTCTGTACCCAAATTACGCCAAAGGGAACATTCCCTTCTGACATTTCCATTCAGGTCAGTAGGCTCTCATCCTTTACCAGCAGGTTCAACCCTCCTAGGGAAAGGGCCTATGAGGGAAGAAGGGAGTTAGGGCCTAAGGAACTCACCCCAAACCTCTTTTTACAGAAAAAATGAGCTTTTTGCATTCAACAGGATGCCACCTCTGCTGAAAGCATTTTTTATTCGTGCATTATTTCATCTGTGTGTCCTTTTCAATCAGCTCTCCTAACTGCCAGCATGGTCTTCCCCTTCTCTTGTGTAGGCAAGAGTCCATGCTTTAGAACACTTGAAGAGGCAGTGCTTGGAGTAGGGAAACTAAATTTTCTTCATTAAATCTACTGAAGCAGATATTAAAAATGCATTTAATATCCAGGCGATGGTCGGTGGGCACCGCTGACTGTGACAGGCCAGTTACTGATGATCAGCCGTCAGATGGCCTTCTCAGCAGGCGTCTGGGTCTCAGGCTGCTGAAGGACAGCAATATCTTCCCTTGTGGGTAAGCTCTATTCATCTCTCTGGTATTTACTAAATCACAGGCCTCTGCACATATAGCCCACGTTTCAGCATATGCTAACGAATGATGGATGGCCTCCTCAATTCATTATGTCCTGAAAGCATGGTTTCCTGCCATTCTAATCACCAAACCTCAGCGCTTCAGAGCTGATCAGTCCCAGGGAATATATTTTGCAGGCTCGATTAAAAGAGTAGAAGTTCGTTCCATTAAAGTCTCTGACACTCTTCCCCGGCGGTTTGTTTGCATCACCCAGTTATTTGGGCAGAATATTCATGAGGTAAATGTTTGGACAATGTAACACTGGCAGGTTTCTTTCCTAATGTTTGCAAAGGTGTAATTTCAACTATGACAAAACAGTTGAGGTATCTAACAGTGAAATTTATGTGTTAAAAAATTTTCCTTCTATGTACAGCAGGCAAAACCTTAAAAATATTTTGTCATATACTATTATAATGTAAACCTATTAGTAGATGCATTGCAAAGGAACTTTCAAGGGAATAACCAGTCTCTAAACCATCTAAACCTCTGAGGACAATAATTCATGACAGTTCTCTTAATTATGATCTAGATAAAAGCACAACCTCCTTAAAAATTCTTCTGACAGCTCCAAAGTTAGGTGACAAAAGTTCAACTTGTCAAAGAAAGAAACCTTTTAAGAGAATATATATTTTCAGTTCCAAGGTTATATATGTCAGCTGTCTTTTCTATAAACCACAAGAACATGTTTATTTTTAGCTATGGCTTAGCTATGGAACAGAAAAATATTAGCACACTCATATCTTTGACTCAGAGACAGTAAACTTTATAAATAAACAGATGAACTTACCACAACTAAACAGATAGCTGAGCTTTGAGGAAACCAGACGATGTTAAAGAGCTAAACAACTGGCTATAACTAAGCTCCTGGAAATGCTAAAAAAAAAGGAAAAGAAAAGTGCCAGACTCCCTGACTCCCTTTTAGCCAAGTGTTAGGTAGGCTCTGAAGTATCCACAATCAGTTGGCGCTCCATCACACTGCCCTGCCATTCACCTCAACCTTGACCTCAAGATTAAGCTCACTTTTATTGTGCACAAAGGTCACCTGTATTAGGTCAAAATTCAAAGTCCCTTGTCAGAAAAGGTTGATGTATTCCAACCTTTCCTTCTCCATGCATCAAATTTTTCATGGTAAAGTCATATTCAGGAGACAGTATATTCAGCAATTTATTGTACCATTGTAATACAGTGCAGAAAACAATTGTCTGAAAAGCTATCACATGAAAAATATTTTTCATGAGAAAGTACCAAATACAGACTCCTAACATGCTTCTAAAATGAAATAAAACTTATTAAGCTTGTATTCATACTTCGGAGGAGCTATATGGCCAATAACTGTCCTCAAAATACAAAGTGTAGTATAATTATGACTTTTACTTTTATAATCTTTGGCTACAGGCAACTATTTTTCAGAGTGTCACTCAAATTCCTAAGTATCATTTCTTTAAAAAAACAGGAAGATCCTAACTAGTTTTAACACTTTAATTCCAAACTGACCTAAGCTGCTTAAGTGAAGTCAGTCTAAACCTAAGCCTCTCTAGGACCTAGAGCTCAGTGGAAGATATGCTCTATAATAAAACAGAAAAGGAAGGGGAAAGAATTACTGTCTTGTCCAACTCTTTATTACTGCAACTATATGGTCAGCAGAACTGCATAAATAAGATAAATTATGCAAATTCTTTGTGGACAGCATCCTAGAATACATGGTAATTAATAATAACCAAAGCCTGGGACAATATATCTATTTCCTTTAAAAAGTTTATGTAATTTCTTTGTGTTTACTAACAGGCCTTTTCATAATCAGTATTAGTACCATGAATAGATTTTAAGACTATTTAAAGCACTCATTCTTTAAATGTATTCATACCTATATTAAACACTAAAATCAGTGCTCACAGTCAGGTGATGATCCAGGGCATCTTACAAAATCTCCATGCCCTGAAAGATGTATACCTGAACTCACATGTTACTGGACTCGAGCTTCCTGGTAGCAGAACTCTGACTCCAAAAACGCTATTCACTCATATATCTTTCATAAATTCGTAACTGCCTTATAATCAAGGTGAGGTAAAAATGTAAAAGAGTTTCCAGAACATGGTGGATTCCATTTGAGAAAAGTAATTAGATAAGAAAATAGTTAAAAATTCTCAGACTTACATATTCCCACTTATTCTTGTCAGGGACCATGTTACATAATCATTTCTATACGTGGGAAGAGGGAATCAATCTAAACCTAAATATGCCCATTTGTCATCAATGTAATATCACATCTTGGTTGCCAGTAACATCCAAGGACTTCATCATAATTTACTAAAAAAGTAGGTTTCCTATTACCCAGTGGGGAGAAAGAAAAATAACATTTTGGAAACCTAAAAAATAAAGGGGCTGGTTTTAGGCAACATTTTTTCAGTTCTAATATTCTGAGTCCCATTATTATAAGCATAAACACCACTACAGTGTACATCCTTAAATCAGTAATGGTAACAAACATAACAGCAGCAGCAAAAATGTATTTAAAACAATATTTGGAGTTGTACTAATCATTTTATAAGCACTATCTCAGTTCAAGATCATGACAATCCCATTTTATAAATAAGGACACTAAGGTATCAAGAGGTCAAGAAGGTTACCCAAGGTCAACCAGCAAGTAAGTCATGAAGCCAGAATTCGTATGTCTATTTCCACAATCAAGTTCTTTAAACCAGTATATAAAAGTGCCTTTAGAGCAAAAAACTGAACAGTCTCCCAGAGTCCACAATAACAGGGTTTTGCCTTCTATCAATTTACAAAATAATTAACCGTCAGCAGAGAGAGCTAAATAAGCCACCGAAGGTCAAGCACAGGCTGTGATAACTGCCAAACTCAGTACCAGCTGGTCAGCACCTCCCCGGCCCCCCATGTGAGCCTATCCTCACACAGAATTCCCCTTTTCATTCTAAAACGCACATATTCTTGCCTAATATTATTTATTTTACTGCTCATTTGTTTTAGTTGTTTGTCATATTATTTTATTATGGATACTTTAGATGTAGAAAAGAAATGGTCACATTCAAACATGTTATAACTGGGTCTTTATACAATTTTACTAAATCAAATTGTAATCAATCAGGTATCTTCCCATTGTTTTTCACTGTAATTGCACAGATGGCTTATTTTCTTTTTATACTGGAGTTACCGCCAATTGAAGATGTAACAACTAAGCTTGAAGTTTCTCTAAAAGGAGTTCCTGACATGACAAACCCTCAGGTCTACCATTGGAGCATTTCTAAATTCCTACAAAAAATGAAGGATGACTGTAATATCCCTAAATTTAGCTACTTAATCTGTTTTGAAAGGGATTAATTTTCCTAAATGAGAACTATGTATACGGCTTTTTTTTTTTAACCAAGCAGCATTTTGTTCAGGCACTTCACTCAAATGTCCACTTTGATATGTACCATAATACCTACAATATAACAGGCTGTTAAGGCTCAAGACTGGAATTCTAGTTTCACACTACAGTGGGGGACAAAAATATGTATCCTCTCTGTGGACAAAAAAAAGAAAAAAAGGGACAAAATTTAGCACTCACAAAAATACTGTAAGAATGAGATACAGATATAAGTATGTTATGCCCTTTTCAGGAAAAAAAACTATAAAAGTAGAATAAATGGGATTAAGAAAATTCTGGAAAAGACATACCACAGGGCCATAATGTGCAATGCATAAAAGTCTCAAACTGGTGATGGTATGCAGCAGGGTGGGGAGCTTAAGAAATGCCTTTGGTGGCAGTGGGGAGGGGTGGGGCAGCCCAGGTCTGCAGTGTTTGCCAATTTCTGTGGTGTAAACACTCCCACCGGGGCAAATTTTAAGCTACTAATATGAGGTCACAGTCGGGAGAAGATGCTTACAATTGGCTCTCACAAGCTGGAAAGAGCCAGCTTCAGCACCGACTGGCTGTAGGCCAAATTCAGCCCACAGACGACTTCTGTTTGGCCAGAAA